ACAATTATTGTTGATATTTGCGGTTTTGATGATCCAAGACTTATTAATGTACTATTTTTAGATAAATTACGTGAAAATATATTTCCCCTCGGATACTGGTTATCATCGGAGTTTAGAACTAGACTTAGATACAAATACATGTATGGAACGAAATGTGAATGCACGAGAACCAAAAGAAAGTCATTGTTATAGCCATGCACATAGTCTTATTCCAGTTCTATTTGAATTACCACGTATTAGTCCAAAATTTATTGGTAAATCCAATCGATATATATATACGCCGTGCGTGTACCACCTTATCGACTGTTCGATGCATTGATCAAATTGGATACTCAAGCAAAAGAACAAGTAGGTTTATGAGAAGAAACTGGTAAATCACCAAGTGAATCTATTGTTATTCCACGACCTGATGCTGATCATGATTAAGAAGATAATGAAGTTGTTTTATCGGTAGTTTCAGATCAACAAGCTAAAAAATCATTTTTACTCGTACTTGATGGCATTACTTTGAAAGAACTTTGGGAGTGGATCAAAGCAAGATTCGCACCCGCACTAACCCTCATACCGGCACACGCACACACCCACACCCATAAAATTTTTTTATATATAGATGAAATATAGTAAGGATATATGAAACTCACAGAGTCTAGTTTGATACTAACTGCTAAGTAGTGTCGAGAGTACTTAAAACATATTGATCTGAATACATAATTTATTATAGATATACAAAAAAATTTTCATATAATGTATATAAACGTGAAAAATCAAGATTGAGTAGCCTCCTAATATATGAGAATGAATTGATAAGCTAATATTCATTATATTTACTCATTATGTATATCAATAAATAATCAAAAATAATACAAGGCACTAAGACAGTTATGTTTTATTCATATCTAAAGAGTTTACTATTCGATACTACCTGACTCTTAGTCTTGAAAAAAACGTTCCTAAACTGAGGAAATAACGTGAATGAGAGAAAAAATCTAACTTTTAGTCAAAAGTGCTTCACTTTTCTCATGAACAAAAATCCTAAGATATTCTAGGAGGTAGAACTTGAGTCGCTCTATCACTCATAGAAATAACATAGTGATTAGTTGTTGTCGCATAAAATACAGTTAAGTGACATTTAAGTAACAAAACACAGCAAAAAACGACAAGAAAAACTTTTTTTCTTGGTATTTCAGAAGTTCTTATGGGGTTGACGAAAACTTCTGAATTTTTGTATGCAGAAATACAATACCTTAATAGTTATAGTTAGAAAAATGGGAAATCAAAAGTCTCAAAAAATTGAAAGGAGCAAATCACTTTTACTGAAGAAGACCAGCTGAAATCGGTTAAACAATAATTAGGAAAATCATCGTAAAAATCCCGTTAGTATATCGACTGTTTATATAGGAAAACATGATCAGATCGAGCTAAAAATTTCAAACAATACCAAAACTCACTACCTCTATAACATATAAAAAACAAGCGTATTCTAAAATGTTATTCCATCGCCGATGTCTTATAGTGACTGAGCTTTCTCAGAAACCTACCCTTAAACAGTACATATTCTGAAAGAGAACGTTCAGCGTTTCAAGCGTATGCGCTTCTTGCAACACCAAATTTTCTACGAAAAATTGGCTATCTGCAGGGTGAGGATATGTTTTAATGTGAAAATGATTTCTACGTGAGTTTCGAGCAAAATGGAGTCGACGATCGTATACAGTTTTCTCTCTATATCTTCTATAGTACAACTAGAACAGATGATACCCATAATTTCATCAAGTGAATAACACTTTCAGTACATCAAACATAAATCAAATTGATCGAATGACGACAATTCCACCAGTGACTTCACTTTTACAAGAATTAGAGGCTATGCTTCTGAATAGTGCAAGTCTTCAAGAATCCATTGTTCTCAAGCCACATCTTTTCCATATATTTCTAACGAGGGAATCATCCAAGGTGACACCTTCCATTCTGATTCAATTATATCTCATTCGATCAAGTATATTGCGATAATAAAAGTCAAAAGGGATTTTTCTCAATGGCTTTTCTTTCAAAAGTTATGGTCATTCTACTGAATTTTCCAGCTATTCCTATATATTTATCAATAAAACTAAACTATGGAATTTTGACCTGAAATTTCGTCGATAGTTAGGTCTAAGGACCCTTAGAATATCCTAAAAGTTTCAGCCAAAAAGAATGTTTCTTTTTCGAGATATTGAGTTTTTAAAAAGCAGTCGTTTGCTCACATTGGTCTCAAAAACTGAGCTCACGTAAACTTTCAGAATATTCTAAGGATCCTTAGACCTAACTATCGAAGAAATTTCAAGTCAAAATTCCATAGTTTAGTTTTATTGGTAAATACAGGGTGTGAGTGTGAGTGTTCATCTTCCCTTCAACAAGACTCACACCCACACCCAAATAATTAAATACATTGGCTTTTCCCCATTTACGTTAAAATCGACAAGAACGATGAATAATTTCAAGAAATAATCTTACGGTATATGCTATTAACTATCCCTAACTATTCAGTATTTGATCATTAAAAACATTTAACGACATTATTTTTATTATGGAAGAAGTTGAAGATATCTAACCAATCGATAATGATATCATCGATCCACTATCACCGACTAACGATCAAAACATATTACAAGATATTACGTATATTCAAATATCACCATAAATATAAGTTACAAAACGTATAAAATTTATTATAGATGAGGAAAGATGTACAATATGACAAGATCCAATTATTGATTCAGTTATATTTAAAGCATATGAAAATCTACCGAAGATTGCGCTTGATTATGGTCTTGAACGTGAATTAGCTGTTCCTCGTACTGTCATTGTAAGTGATCCATCATCAGGCAAATCGATGCTTGTTCAAATGTTTCTTCGATTTCCATGTGCTTTTTCACATGCTAATGCTGGTACTCGATGTCCAGTAAAATATATATTACGTTATGATCTAAATTTACCGAGTGGTGAAATTCGTTTTATTGAACCAAAGCATTGGCAAGCTAAAGATCTGTGCAAAAAACTGGAATTAGAAATGAAACGTATTGAGAAGACTCATAGGCATGAAGGTAGTTTTCGTCTTGAACTATTTACTGTTGAAATAGCCAGTAAACATTATACAGATTTTGAAATTCTCGATGTACCTGGTCTAGTTAGGGGTGATCTAGATGCTAATAAACGAGCAGCTGTTGAACGTATTACTAAACATTATGTATGTGATCCGAGTTTTATGATTGTACAACAACTCAAAGAAGCTCAACAATTAGCTGATAATACATATGGAACAAGACGTATTGGCGAACTCTGTATTAATAAACCGGCTCTTGATGGCTCAAAGTTTCCTTCTCGAAAGAATTATGCTCAACATACGGTTACAATTCAAACAAAAAATCATCACAGCAAGTCAATAGGAACTTGTTCATACAGCTTTGGTAAGGCTTTCGACGGCGCATGTTCTGAAAAAAATCAAGGTGTGGTGTTGTCACTTTTTCAAGTCGAAATATGTTTTATCATGCCAAATAAGGTGGGATATAGCACTATCATGTGACCTGTTCATTTTGGGCATAGGAGACAATATTAGAACAAGTCAATAGAAATTTGTTTTTATAGGTTTTGTAGAGCTTTTTGTGGTGCATCTTTTAAGAAAAAAAATCAAGATTATATGATTTATCTATGGTGAAATATTTGTAAGATACCAAATGTTACAATCTTTATGTCACACTCAGTAAATCCCCATTACTAATCATTATGTCTTTCAAATTCATACAAATATGCAAATTATTTAACTCTCTTTGACATTTATACATACACACATACAATAGAATCACTTTTTATTAAACAGATAATAGAAAAAAATATATTGAACAGTTTGTTCTAAAAGTTTTTGATCGAAATATAAGAAAATGAGAATAAAATCTGTTATTTATCTTCTTGATCTCTTAAATAATTAGTAATTTGTTGTTCTTCATTACAATATTCAGAAGAAAGAGCTGAACCATTGATTACTGAAGATCGAACATTTAATAAATTTTTTCGTTGATGAAAAAAGTAAACAATATGTGAAGCAATATAGAGAATAATTGCCATTAATATACAAACAGCTAAAATTGTTGGAAAATGATTTGGATTACGATCTATGATTACACCTAAAAGATTTTAAAAACAATTAAATATAATATATCATTTACAATATTTACCAGCTATTTTGTTAAATGTAATTGCTCCAAGTGCTGTTCCACATAATAATAAATCAAGAAGCATTGGTATAACATTTAATCTTTGATTAAAAAAACCAAATGATAATGGAAATATTGGTGAAAATATCAAATCAGTTACTGCGCCAAGAATAAATAAACTTGTACTTGTTAAATCAATAATCCAAACATAATTAAGCCAAGCAATAGCAAGACAAAAAGCTCTAAACCAAATAATACTAAGACATATATTTACTGATAGAAATAGAGATACAATTGCAAAAATTAATCGTCCGATCTATTTTAATAAAGAATTATCTTTTTTATTTTTCAATCAAAAAATATGTTTTTCTTTAATTGAAGATATTTTAGATGAAAACTTTTTTTTTACGGATTTATTTTCGTCAAACATTTCTATTTTTCTTTTTCTATTAACTATTTGAAATGAATTGATAAATACGATAATAATGCATACAGAATAAGAAGGCCAATAAAGAGTAATTCCCCAGCTTGCAGCTTCATTTGATAGATTAAATTTATCAAATTTGAGATAAGAAAAAAAAAATTTTGAAAATCTTTGACTATTTCCACCCATAAAAAATGTATAAATAAAAAATTTTATTGAAAGAGTTAAACCACATTGAAAAAATTCACGACCGCATGTACGAGGAGAATATGAAGAAGAATTTTCTTTATTCATTGAAGCATTATCATTGTCTAGATCCGTGCTTATAACGGAATAGTCTACCTAAATATGCATTACATTTGTTAACTAATTTAAATTTTTCTCTTTGGTTTATTATAACCTGTCGTACTTGTAATTTTTGTCTTCGATTTCTTAGTTCTAAAACATAAAAAAAGATATGTCCAACAGCAATTAAAAAACATAAAATTGCAGTGATTGAATATGAAATAATAATGTTGAATTAATTCCTTCATTATATGTAGCATGGATCGATGAAACTTTTTGAGTAATAAACGGACGAACAAGTAAATTAACAAAAACAGCACCAACTCCATATCCAAAATGAGCTGAATTTAAGGGTGCTCCAGCATTGTCACCCCACATTGTCAATAAGAGATTATTTCCGCATATATATTTATTCAAAATAAACTTTTTTCAATAAAAAAAAAAGTGTAAATCTTGATTTACCTAAATCTGTGAAACTTTTAGAAAGTCCTTGAGTAAAAAATAAAATACACGTGAATATCAATGATGTGACAAATGGAGTAGCAAAAACCACTGAAAGGAAAGGAATTTAATAAATATTTTTATTTTTGATGAAAAGATTTTACCAATAGCAGGTAAAATAAATGCAAAAAACAGAAGACCTTCTGAATGTTTTTTTGACAATATTTTGTAAAATAGCACCAAGAAGATTAGCAAATAAATACCCAGCACTTCTCGATGCAAGCATCGAACCCATACCACTATACGTAACTTTGATATTTGCTACAAGATTTGGCATTGTTGGGCCAATCAATTCAAGATGAAAACTCTTGACTATCAAATGATTTGTTTTTTTTCTGATTCTTTCTACGATAAACAATCATTTATACAAATATGAGATTTACCAGCATAACCCATGTTAGAATAAGATATTCACTTTTAATTAAATACAGGGGCGGTGCGAAGGGCTCAGAGCAGGGGGGGGGGGGAGTATTGTGAAAAATGGGAGAAAATAGAAAAAAGTCTCTAAATTGTAAGTACCTAGTACCTTTTTTTTACTAGTGTTTTTGAAAGCAAGTAGATAGGTAGATTCTTCTGTTATCAATTACAAAAAATGGAGAACATTGTAATAAAGGTTCTTCAGAACCGGAAGAAGTTCAAAATATATCTTCTCGGAAGTTGAAAAATTTTTCAGACTTTTTCTCCAAAATTGGAGACATTTTGAGACATTTTTTCCAAAACTGAAGAAATTTTGGGACATTCTCTCATTAACTGGAGAAATTTTAAGACATTTTCTCTCAAATCGGAGAAGTTTTGAGACATTTTCTTCAAAATTCGAGGAATTTTAAGACATTCTGTCCCAAATTGAAGAAAGTCTGAGACATTTCCTCATTGGTTGGAGAAATTTTAAGACATTTTCTCTCAAATCGGAGAAGTTTTGAGACATTTTTTCCAAAATTGAAGAAGTTTTTGGAACATATTCTCACCAACTCGAGAAATTTTGAGACATTTTCTGCAAAATTCAAGAAATTTTGAGATATCCTCTCA